GAAGAGGAGAGTCCCAATTTTCCGGGGAGTGAGAGCTGACTTGCGATGAGGCATGGTGAACAAGGGTAACTGAGCCGGCGTTCCCACAATGCTATGCGGAGGAAATGGTATGGTGATACCGACAAGATGTGGAAAAAGACACTTATGTACAGTTCAGGACATTTATTAAAGGAAACGTTTTGCCACGAGTGGCTTCTTCAGTCCTAATACAGAGAAAACTAAGAAAACATACATATATAAGTGGCAGGAGTCAGGTGAGGTGACGCGTGGGTAGAGGTGGTAGTAGTAGTAGTAGTAATGGAACTAAGGAGGTGAGGCTAGAGAGGGACCTGCTGGCATCAAGTAACACCAGTTCCCAGGATGGGTAATATCCTCTTGCTTAGTAATTTTGAAATACTGTAACTACCGGATTTTTGCTTTATAGTGTAACTGACAGAAATTAGTGCAGCTTCAATGCACTTTCTCCGTCTTAAGTCGTCTTCTTTAATAACTAGTTTAGCTTCATTGAATTTCATGAGGTGTCCAACATCGTCTCCATGTTGAACACATGCATTTTTGCGGTCATCATTTCTGCAAGCATTTTTGTGTTCTGCTATCCTAATGTCCAGAGTTCTGGCTGTTTCCCCTACATATACTTTGTCACACCCCCCACATGGTATAGTGTAGATTCCTGCACTTGTGCCAGAATCATGCTTGGGTTTTTGTATCAGGTTCCTAATAGTAGTTGAAGAGCTGGTAAATATTTTAGGCATTTTTCTGTCAAACATTTTTGAAACATTAGTGGCAACGTTGCTGACCGGTAAAATGATGTAACTTGGAGGCTTTTCTTCAATTTGACTGCTACTACCACCTCTACCCACGCGTCACCTCACCTGACTCCTGCCACTATATATATATATGTTTTCTTAGTTTTCTCTGTATTAGGACTGAAGAAGCCACTCGTGGCGAAATGTTTCCTTTAATAAATGTCCTGAACTGTACATAAGTGTCTTTTTCCACATCCACAATGCTATGCGGGCGCCTAGATTTTTTGTTTATGGCGCACACCCACCACGCAGACTCGTTCTCTCACATGTAGGCCTATGAGTGCTAAATTTGACTGCGCTAGAATTTTGGCGTAAATCTACGGTTTGGACACTCAACGTGAAGCCGTAGATCTACGGGACAGACCCTGAAAGGGTTAACCCTTTCAGGGTCCGTCCTGTAGATCTACAGCTTTGAAGCCAGGGTCAAAGCTGTAGATGTATGCCGTGAGCTCAGCTTACTCAGATAAGCTGTAAGAGGCAAATTTGGGCCTAGATATGAGAGAATACATCTATGTGGTGCACCACAAAAAAACAAATCTTGAAACACGCAGTGCATAATGAGAGAAAAAAACTACGACCGTAATTTTGGATTAAAACAACGAATTTGTGGTGTTTTTCATATGTTTTTTACGGTTGTATTCATGATTTCTTGGTCGCATTTGATAGAATGGAAGATACATTACAGAAATAGAGATGATTTTGATTGGTTTTATTACTGAAAATGGCTTGAAATTGAGCTTAAAGTAGCAGAACTGTTCAATTTTTGCCGATATTCAAGAGTAAACAAATGTCACGCATCTAATACGCATCAACTGGTGGGTTTAATATACATTCATGAATGTGCTGATGTTATTTAAACAATTACTACAATATTGCATAACAGTAAATCTTTCATTTTTTGGTGTGAATAAAAATTTATTATGTGAAGACAAAATCAAAATGGAATTAATTTGTAAAACCTGAAAATGTAACTAATGAACAGAGGAAATGTTATTTTAGTGCCAGGAATGTCTGCATTGTTTTTTCTGGACCCTATTTTGAAATTGGAATATTTTGAACTTTGTTAAATTGGCCAAATTACCAATTTCCAATCACTTTATTGGGTAGTTGAAACAGTTGACTGGGCAATTTCTTGTGATCAATCGATAAAATAGAAGCAATGCTAGCGAAATAGCTAAGAATAATGTAATTGGCCTAAAATGGGAGTCAAAGTCTGCAAAATCGCTGATGCGTAAATATTGCTGATGCATCAAAATTTGCGAGAGCATAATTTAGTCAGTTTTCCATCAAATTTTGTACTTTTTGTTTTATTGCCTTCAGAAAAAGATTCTGTACCATTTCATAAGAAAAAAGAAAAATTTTTTTTTTTGAAAATTCTTGGACCCTGGCTGTCACTCTGAGATTTGGTCTCTGGACCCTCAAAGGGCTAATTTCAGGGATCTGGACAGTGAAAGGGGTTGAAATGATCATGGTGTGTATTAATCAGGGTGGTTGAAATAAATTTGATCCAGTACAGTATACGTTCTTTGACTTAATTGAAAGCTATGCTACTTGCCACCGGAAACCAATCCTATTCCTCATTCTCACTACCAGACCATATTGTGGAAAGTTTCACACTGGATCCTGATTGACTGAAAAAGTTAGCCTAAGTGAAAATATTGTGCTTTATACACACACAACCCGCACATAAAAGAGAGGTGCTTACAACGATGTTTTGGTCCGACTTGGACCATTTACAAAGTCACACTAACAGAAAAGAGGAGGAGGCAGTGTATATACCAGCTGACAGGGATGGGGCAAGAGAGGTAGTAGGAAAGGAAGTAGAGAGGCAGTAGCAGTGGAGTCAGTCTAAGGCCAAGAAAGAGGAGCACTGCAGGAGAGCTAAGGACCCACAAGGGGTAAGACCAAAAACATGGGGATGTGGGGGGAAATAAAGGACCAAACACTCAAGGCAGAAAAAAGAAAATCCAATCAAGAAAAAGGAAAAAAGGAAAGGGGAAGAATTAGAAAGAAAAGGAGAAAAAAGAATCAGGTTAATTCACAGGTGTTCTGAAGTTTGGAGCGTTTTACAGTGTAATCAGAAAGAAAGGTATCTACAGAGACAAAGCAAGGACTAAGATTTATTCAAGGAAAGTTGTGTATAAGGGAGGATTCAATGAGATGGTGATTGTGAAAGTTGGAAGTAGGGTAGACAGTTTTAGCTGAAGACCAGTCAGTAGGATGATTGTGATGTCTGACATGACAGAAAAGAGCGTTGTTGATGTCAGCAAGCCTGACACTACTTTTGTGCTCCTTGAGTCTGTCAGAAAGTACTGTCAAAGTACTGAAGAGAACAAGAGGAACAAGAAGTAGAGTAGACACCAGGAGCATCTATAGCGGGAGGAGAGGTACAAACTAGATTGGTACAAAGAGTGTTAGTTTGGTGAAGAGTAAGTTTGATGTCTAAGGAACGGAGAGAGTTGTTGAGATTAGAAAAACAAGAAATATAGGGAAGGCAGAGAACAAGTGATTTCCCAGAAGTACAGAGTTTGGGAGAGAAGAAAGTCTGTTTAGCACGTGAGAAGGCAGAGTTTATGAAATGGGAAGGGTAGCCAAGATGAGAGAATGAATTACGAAGAGTGGAAATTTCTGATTCAAGGAACTGAGAGTCACAAATGTGGAGAGCATGGAGAAAGAGAGAAATGAGAAAACTTTTATTGACAGAGGAAGCATGATGGGAAATGTAGTGAATGTACATGCCACTGTGCATAGGCTTGTGATATACAGAAAAAGCAAAACCTGTATCCGAACAGTGGACATGTACATCAAGGAAAGGAAGCAAAGAATTAGATTTCCATTCAGCTTTAAACTTAATGGAAGGGGCAGGATTATTAAGGGCATTGAAAACTGGTTGGAAGAAATTAGTCATGAGGCCAAAGAGCAAAGATATCTACATAGTGGAGCCAGTGGGAAGGGCACACAGCAGAAAGTAGGAAGAAGAATAGTTTCAAAGTATTCCATATAAAGGTTAGCAAGAACAGGAGATAGAGGAGAGCCCATAGTGATACTAAAGGTTTGAGAATAATATTTGCTTTGGAAAGAAAAGGAATTTGAGTCCACACAAAGGCAAATAAGATCAAGAAAGACATCAGTAGGTATAGGGAGATGAAGTAACCCTTCATTAGCCTTCTCTCTGAGAAAATTAAGAACATTATCAAGAGGGACATTGGTGAAGAGGGATTCATTGTCAAGACTAAGCATCTTACAGGTTGGGAGAGAGCGAACACATTTGATGAAGTCTTGAGAGTGACAAAGATAGACAGGAGAAAAAGTACCAAGAAAAGGAGTGAGGGTTTTGGCCAGCTAAGAAGTAAGAGAATAAGAGACAGAACCTCTAGATGATATGATGGGATGTAGAGGAATATCACGTTTATGAGTTTTGGGAAGGCCATAGAAATGCAGTAGAGAGGGACAAATGACATGAAAATGTTGAACAAGGTCAAAGTCAGGAGGACAGAGGTCAGAGAGTGCCCTCAGTTTCTTGTTGAAAGTTCTGTTGATGCAACCAAGAGGGTTGGAAACGAGAGGAGTGTAGGTATGTAAGTTAGAGAGCAAGACTTCAGCTTTACAGAGGTAATCCTCACGATCAAGGATAACTACCGAGTTACCTTTGATAATGTTAGATTTAAGAGAAGAGAGGGCAAGTTGATAGTGGCGAGGAAGGTGGTAATTCTTGGACAACAGACTATCAAGAGCAGGGATGAGAGTGCCATGAAAAGTGGACAGGTCAGGAAGATTATGAGAATGAGACTGATGAAAGGAATTAAAAGAGCTAATCAGGTCAATGCCAGTGTGAGGGGTAAGTGAAGTGGTGAAGGAAAGGCCAAAACCAAGATGTTCAAGTACTGTATGTCATTGCAAGCTCGCTCTCTCTCTTATGTGCAGGTTATTTAAGTATTGTTCCAGTCACGGTATTATGCCTTTTTGCCCTTTTTTGCACTTTATGAAAAGACAAATCTCTACTGTTTGCGAGTGGTTAGAAGCATTTAAGTAAATGCTCCTGTATTGAATTCTAATTTCTTTGAGGGAAGATTGAATGCATGAGGCTCATGAATCTTTGATTCATCTAGTTGAAATTAAAATATTTATTGTTGGGTTAATTATTTATGCATACCTATGTAATCTTTCATTAATATTTAAATCTTTCCATATAAGGGAGATGTGCAAACCAAATATGGTGCAAAAGCTCATTAGTGCCCTAAATCATGGTGATCCTGTAGCAGAGGTGGGCTGGTGCCTCTTTGTGTTATCAATGCATCAAGAAATGTGTTCCCTCCTGGTTGACCAAGGCATCATTGAAGCAGCTTTTACAGTTATGGAGCAATTAATTAATGAGCAAGTAAGTTGTTACCTTCATGCAATAGCTTTAAGAACTTGTAATTTCTGCAGTGTGTTATGATGATTATGTGAGTATTTTGTAACATTTTGGTCATATGGGAATGTATACCCATTGGATTGGTATTCTTCGATTTGGTAATTGATAGTTTATTTAGAAGAAAGTGATGTATGTACTGGTATTCTTTTTGAAAGTATTTTAATGCATTGCATACAAGTAGTGTGTGTTGAAAAAATGCATGTCTAAATCAACTTGATTAAGAAGAATGTAACCTGGCATGAATAGGCATTGCTAGATAGATAGCAAACTACTAACTTTGGAGTTTAATTCGTATAAAAATTGTTAATTTCATAACACAGGAGAAAATTATTATTCACTAATTAGTTTTAATGGGAATTTTTGTTTTCTAACTTCACCTCCAGATTTTTTAATGCCCTGAGCATTGTCAGTCATATTTAAATCAACAAGAAGTTTTATAATGAAGGACTCTTCCCAGAATAATATAATAGAAGTATAAAAATATATTTAAATTATGCAGCCATGAATATTCACTAGAAAAACAGATTTAATTTTAAACATGTAACATGAATTAGATATATCCTTGAGATTTATATGAAAAAGTGTACTTCAGTGGTTTTCTTTTAATTATTTGTAATTTTTGACTTCTTATGTCCCATAGCTCAGTTGCTAGCACACTCCGCTCACACATTGAAGTCCATGGTTCGATCCCCAGTACAGGTGGAAACATTAGGATGTGTTTCCTCAAAACACCTGCTGTCTATATTCACCTATCAATAAAATAGGTACCTGGGTGTTAGTCGACTGGTGTGGGTTGCATCCTGGGAACAAAATTGACCTAATTTTCTTGAAATGCTCAGCTTAACAAGGGGCTTTCTATATAGTAGTATATCATTGATATCAACTAGGCCTGTATATGTTGTAGAAATAAAGGTTATTATTATTATTTTATTAGAAAATTGGTAACCTGTATATGGCCAACACCATTTTTTTTTTACTATATTTGATTAGTAAGATTTGATTGATTGGAAATGAACAAATATATAAATAGGTTGCTAGATATATGGCTGAAAATATAGTAAATAAAATTACCAGTAGTTAATTGATGATTTTAGTTTCAGAACTTTGGTATCCCTTACCTAGTATCATGGCATATTGTTAATATTCTATTTGAAAAGACTATGTAATGTAGGTAATCACAGAGAAGAGTGTTGTTTGACCCTTATGGGTTTAGCACTTGGTTATGATTATAATAATAATCACAGTTCTGTATGCAGTTAGTTGCTGGACAGGATGTGTGATTTGAGTTTAGAAAACAAATCTTGTGTCTGGCATGCCCATGCTGGTACCAGTACATGCAAGGTCAAAGAGGTTACTCTATATTTACCGACTTCATTTGTTTTATTATTCTAGTCCTAAAGATCCTCCAACTTTATTTTACTTCACTTATAACTCTTAAGACCTCATCCAGTTGGCTTCAGAATTTTCAGCACTTGGATACAGTAACAAGGACTAAATTCTTTAACATTTGGCATATTCATGTGTCCTGTGGCCAAAGTTGTTGAAGCAGTTCCCATTCCTAGCATCCTGGAATGGCTTGGATTACTTCCAAAATCCTCAGCGACCTACCTTAAAACATTCAACAAATGTGCCAAAAAATTTGATGGTGGAGTGAAATTCAAAAGTGTAGGTGCAGATTTGGACATTTTGTGTAAAATGGTGAAAATTTTTATTGCATTGCATCATGTTAAATAATTTTTAGTTTACAATTTCTGAACAGGTTCAATATTTAACAGCTGATGCATCTTAGGGCCAGGATGCTACCCATTAAGTTTCGTTTGTGTGCAGGCAAATTTGTTGATGTAAAATAGTAAAATAAATGCTTAGAATCAGAATCCTTGCCATAACTTGGGAATGATTCCTCTTATCAGCTTTAGAATTTTAACACTGATGTCTTTCCCTAAACACAAGGTTCATGTTGCTATTGGGTGGCATGAGTCCCAATTTGCCAGTTTTATTGAATAAATAGTAATGTTTTAGGTAGTAGGTTGGTAAACAGCAACCGCCCAGGGAGGTACTACCATCCTGCCAAGTGAGTGTAAAATGAAAGCCTGTAATTGTTTTACTTGTTGGTAGGATTGCTGGTGTCCTTTTTTCTGTCTCATAAACATACAAGATTTCAGGTACGTCTTGCTACTTCTACTTGCACTTAGGTCACACTACACACACATATACAAGCATATATATACACACCCCTCTGGGTTTTCTGCTATTTTCTTTCTAGTTCTTGTTCTTGTTTATTTCCTCTTATCTCCATGGGGAAGTGGAACAGAATTCTTCTTCCGTAAGCCATGTGTGTTGTAAGAGGTGACTAAAATGCCGGGGGCAAGGGGCTAGTAAACCCTTCTCTTGTATAAATTACTAAATTTAAAAAGAGAAGCTTTCGTTTGATTTTTTGGGCCACCCTGCCTTGGTGGGACACGGCCGGTTTGTTGAAAAAAAAAAATAGTAATGTGCATTTTTTTTTTTGCCCTGTTTCTGTTTATCTTCAGAATATTATTGATGGTGCATTTTATAAGGAGGATAATACTCTTTAAGTTTAGTCATTTGACATTTTACTGAAAAACTTGGAATTGTTAGAGTCATATCAATTACTGGAGAATATCTTTTCTGATTGGCTTCAAGTTTTTACCATTGGTGGGATTTGTTAAAACACAGCTTGGTACTCTTGAGCTGTGTACATTTCAATTTACCAGTTTTATTAAGCCCATTGTTTCCCTTGTAATAAGTAGAAACTGACTCTTCTGATCAGCAACAAGCCCTAAATACTGGTGTATCAGTTAGGTTAGGTAAGGTTCGTCAGGAAACAGGACAGGTGTTTCCTGACTTGGGTCTTAGATGATGACCCGTCTTTGGAGCGTTTGGTCATCTGACTGAGGCCTTCCGCTGGCTTACTGGTGCACCCCTTTAAAAATTATGGTCATTTATAACCATTTAGTAATATATATTACTGGTGTATCTGAATGGCAGGTATTTTTATATTAATTTTGGGCTGTGTGGGTGCCAGGTTACTATTTTTTTTGCCAGTTTTATCAAATTGGATATTGAAAAAAAAAAATTTATTCATACAGGTTTTTGTAGAGAATTTTAAATATAATGCAAATGAAGAAAACTAAATTACAATAAAAATCCAGTTGTGTGGTATTCTTAAGTTTAATGAGAGAAGACTTTCCTGCTTTTCAAACCTCTCAGAACATTTTTGTTTAGTACTTGCAAACGCCTTATTTAATTAGCTTCAAAATTTCAGTGGTTGTGTAATGTATCCTGGGCAAGGTTCATGGGACTATTTGCATGAGTGGGTGCCTTTTTCACAATGCTACATTGGTCATTTCCAAATTTTGTTTGTGTGATAGATGGAGACGGGCTTCTCTGAGTGACTTCAAAATTTTAAGGTTGGTATATTTAACCCCTTGACTGTCGCAACCCCCAATCCTGAGGTGTCTCCTGGTGTCGCAAAATTAAAAAAAAAAAAAAAATTCTTATGAAATGATAGAGAATCTGTTCCCGATTGTAATGACACCAAAAAAACGAAATTTGGTGGAAAACTGATGGAATTACGCTCTTGCGAAGTTAGCGATCTCAGCGTTATTTACAAATCGGCAATTTTGCCCACTTTGAGCCCTATTTTCGACTAATTCCATTGTCCCAGTCGACCAAACTCATAGCTATTTCTTTAGAACTCCATTTTTTTCTATCAATTGAGTACAAGAAACTACCCATTTACTGATTTAAACTACCCAATAACGTGGTCAGAAATTTGCAATTTGGCCAATTTCATGAAAATTAAAAAATATGACAATTTCAAAATAGGGTCCAAAATGAACAATGCAGACATTCCTGGCTCTAAAATTACATTTTCTTTGTTCATCAGTCATGTCTCCAGGCCCCTCTGATATTACTCTTGCTTTCTATTTTGAATTTTTATTCAAACAAAAAATAGAAGATTTACTGTTATGCAGACTACAGCAATATTGTAATAATTGTATAAATAATGTCAACCCATTCATGACTGCATATTAGAATGGCTACTTGGACATTTATTGGAAAATGACATCATTTGTTTACTTTTGAACATCGGCAAAAATCAAACATTTCCCCTACTTTGAGCTCCATTTCAAGGTTCTTTTTATAGTAAAATCAATCAAAATCACCCCTGTTTCTATAATATGCTTTCCATTCTATCAAATGAGACCAAGAAAACGAGAATACAACCATAATTACTATACGAAAATAGACCACAAAGCCGGCATTTTAATTAAAAAAAATGGTCTGAGTTTTTTTTTTCTCATTATGCACTGCGTGCTCCAGGATCTTTTGTATATGGTGCACACTGACCACACAGACCCATTCTCTCACATGTGGGCCTACCAGCTTTCTCCTGCTTGATTTGAAGCCGCTAGAATTTATGAGTATACATGTATATACGTCAAACACAGTACCTCGTAAGATGTATACATACGACCGAAGCAGTCAAAGGGTTAATGCAGTATGTAGATACCATTTTGCTACTTAATATCCAAATGTTATATTATTATTTTACCTTATTGCAATTATTTTGTCTTGAGTTTGGTGAAGTACTCTTGATACAAGGAACTGGACTTGTCTTCGCCTTGCTTAGATTGAATTTGAATGCATCCCATTCCATAGGCTCTATATAACCCTTATGGGTTTAGCACTTTCCTCTGATTAAAATTTAACAGTTGTGAATGGCATTAATCTAAGCTTATATAAAACTTCCATGCTTAAAGCTGGTTGATCTTATTTAGATAAAGTTGGATTGATTTTGGTCTTTGTAGGTTCCAATTTGCTTTTTTGGGAGGAAGGAGGAGGGAAGAAATTGGGGAAAAATAAAATACTACTTTTCATGTAATAATGTGTTTGTATATTTTAGAATATTAGTCTCTTTTGTCTCTTTCGAAAGATTTGAATTATATCTGGCTTGTGTATGTGCTAATTTACCATTTTATTGAAAGTTTGATATTACTTTCCTGTGAATGGCTCTACTGATTACCTTCAGTTTTCAAAGCTGATATTTAACTGCATTATCACTTATGCTGCACTGTGCACTAATCCAGTCACATGCACTGAGGCTCATGGGACTGGGGCTATAGAGTACCAGCATACTGTACCTTTCTTGGCTCGTACAACAACGGAAATACTAAATCATTATATTCACGGGGTCACAGGATACCTGGAAAATGGGAGGTAATCATGTTAATTGCAAAACTATTTATTCTTATATTCCTGAGTAGTGATAGTTCTTTTTTCAACAAACCGGCTGTATCCCACTGAGGCAGTGTGGCCCATAAAGAAAAACGAAAGTTTCTCTTTTTAAATTTAGTAATTGATACAGAAGGGGTTACTAGCCCCTTGCTCCCGTAGTGATAGTTACTGATTGGATTATTTTCTCCCCAGAATCTGAATTTTTCTGCAATTACTCCAGTGGTACGAGTGGTGATGAACTGTGTTGGTGTTGTACCAGGAACAGCAGTGCAGGTGAGTGTCAGTAGGTCTGCTTTCCTGCTACTGGCCTGGTCATTCAGGCTGTTGGTACTTTTAGTACATAGTCTGAGTTAGACACCACAGCCAGGCTGGTCACAAACATTTGTAGATATTATCAACTTTATATTGCTCCAAAAAATTATTCTGTACTGAATTTTTTTTTATCTTTATTGTTGCAGTGTTTCACATTAGATGTGCAAATTATTAGACTTTCTCTTATGTTTATGAAAAATATGGCTTTCCACATTAAAGTGAACAGATTTTTTTTTATTTAAGACTATTTCCCAAGTCTAGTCAGTTGATCAAATGATACAAGTGTGCCACTGATATTCCCAGAAAATTGCGATCTTCACGCTTTTTGTAGCTCTCGTGTATGGATTGCTTTCAGGTGTGTTACCGCAGTGAACAGCTTGTACAGGTTACAAAAGCCCTACTTTATTCACCTTATCCTCACCTGCGTAATGAGGCTATTCACCTTCTAGCCAATGTTGTGAATGGTGCATCTAAAGAATCATTAACAGGTACAGTATTGTAAATGATGATATAAAACCTATTCAACTTTGTAAAAAAATATTTCATTTACAGTCAATAGAACTAACTATAAAACCTGTATATTTTAGTAAGGCTGGCCTGTTACATTCTTGGGATATATATAGGAAGGCATGAGACTTTAAAAGTTAAAATATAAACAGCCTTTTTATATAATTGCTGCCTCATTGTTTAAATTATTTGTTTTATACTTCTGGGCTATAGATTTTGGCATACATAATTGCTATGGTCAGTACAGTATTTACTCTAGCTACTTGGAAAATATTGGTTATTATGAAAATTCTCCAACAATAAATTGGTTGTGCAATGGAGACATTCATATTTTGTGGCTATGGGAAGAGAACTTGTTTTTGGCAATGGCACAAAAAAAAAAAAAACCTAATCCAGCCTAACTCATCTTAAAGTAACTTACCATAGATTTTGAGGTAATTACTAGGTTAGCTTTTTTTTGTTTAACAAAACAAAAGTTTTTTCTCATAGGCCAAAAATATAACTCCATTGCACCACCATCTTTGATCGTGCTTCTGGCTTCCACTGCAGTGCGACGATTTTCAGATCACCCACCCATCTCAGGATGGACCACCTCCATTTCCATACTTAACCACAGCCATTAACAAATGACACTGTCTCAGTTACCTCTCGCCCTTCCCAGAAAAGACCGACACGACACTTCCCTTACACTCTACGTTGAAAGGTACACAGTGGACTAAGTTTTTTGCTCTACAGCTGACATCTCCCACTGATTGTCTTTCTGATCATAGTATCAGCAATCACTCCGACACTATGTTGGTCAAAATATTTCATTTCATGCTCTTAAGAGTGGTGCACATATTGTCACAGTATGAAATGCTAGCCAGGCTCAGTCTTTCCCTTCTTACCTCCATCAATGATACTATGGTCCTGGTTCATAAACACATCTCAGTTCTTGCAGTGGCACCATAGTTCTTCCACATAGGATTGTTCAATGTGATTTCCAGAACTGATGCTGGCATTTTGGAACAATTTGAGCTCCAAGACCTCCCAGTTCTTCAAATGGACACTTATGTACTACCTGCCTGTGGGTGGAGACACTTTCCCTCTAATGTAACTTGGTTAACTTTTGACTGCTGGGAACTTCCATCCCTATATATATTGTGTGACATTTACTAGTATGGGAATAGATTCCTACACACAACAATCTAGAAACTGCTGGTGCTTTGGCTACCCAGTGAAATATTGCAGGTCCCTGGCAGAATGCCCAGTCTATGGTTCTGCTGACCATAATACAACCTGCTGCTGACTTCCTTCTTACCTTAATTGTAATGAGGCTCACCCGGCTTATTCTCGCTGTTGCCAGGTTTTCTTAAAGGAACAAGAAATTTGCTGTCTCGAAAAGAAAGGATTCTGGTCTTATTGATGTTGTGGTTGGGAGACTATGCTTTCCCATCTTTGCATCGGGCACACACGTCTTCCTTATGGGCATCTCGTTGAGAGGCGCACAATTCCACTCTGAAAATGGTCAGGGTCCAGTTTCAGTTTGCCATGTTCTGGTGGACTGTCCTGTTTACCAGTGAGCACACAGAATTACCTCTGATGTTGTCACTGCTTTAGCACTCTTTATTGTCCCTCCTAGCTGACGGCTCCACCTTTGACACACTCCCTCTGACCTTTTGACAGCAACAGATTTATTACACCACATTTGTTTATATACTTCTTTTAGCACTCCTCACTGCCCTTACTAACCCTACCTCCGTTATACTCTCCACCTTTGATAGTCTCAGATCAAGCATATTAAACAGCACACCCTACCCTGCAGTGCTGTATGACCCTTGTAGGTTTAGTGCTCAGTTCTGATTATAATAATAGTGTTGGAAATGTGACCATATTATTCCCATGTTCTTCACTTTGACTATTTCACCACTGAATATTTGTTGTTGCAAAAAATTGTATATTTTAATAACCTTATGGGTTTAGTGCTTAGTAATAAGTATAATAATATGATCATAATTTGTTTTGGTCAGGTCAGTGCATTGTTGATGACTTAAGTCTGCAGCTGCGGCTAGAATGTGCTGTGCGCAGTGCTCTTGCTGCAAACTTTTCTTCTGGTCCGCCAGACACTACCAGTTTTCATGGCATTTTATAAAGCTACCAGCTATTGTCTTCTTTTTAACTTGTGTAAACATTGTAACAGTTTTGTAATTATAATTGTAAAGGTGATTTTTTTTTAATGCATTTGATATATTTTTTGGTTATAGACTTTTTCCTTGACATTTAGAAGCGTTTAGCTCAGGATTACAATTTCTAGAATTTGTTCCAAGTTTATTTTTATTTGAATTATGAAAGTGCTTCAGATTTATTAATTAATGAAAGACATTTATTCCCATCACCAGCATTGCAGTATAGAAAAATTGCCTTTTAAACAAAAAAGTTTGATAGTTTTGTTTGTGAAGTATTTATTCAGACACAGGAAAGTTAACCCTTTTGCTGTCCAGACCTCTGATCTGAAACTTGCCCTCTGCATCCAAGAATTAAAAAAAAAAAAAAAAAAAAAAAAAAAAAAAATTATGAAATGGTAGATATTTTTTCTGAAGGTAATAAAACAAAAAGTAGGAAGTTTGATGGAGAACTGATGAAATTCACTTTTGTGAATTTTGCAGTCATCAGTATTTATGCATCGATGATATTTGTTCACCGAGTCCCATTAGGCCAATTACATTGTTCCAGTAGACCAAATTCTTAGGTGTTTCACTAGTGTCTTCCATTTCATCAATTGAGCACAAGAAACTGCCCAATCAAATACAGTGGACCCCGGGGCCTTATGATCAGCTCCCAACTTGAACAATTATGTAAGTGTATTTTTGGGGGTCTGAAACTGACTGATCTAATTTACAATATTCCTTATGGGAACAAATTCGTTCGGTAACGGCACCCGAACAGACTTCTGGAATGAATTAATATCGTAAGTTGGGGGTCCACTGTACAGTGGACCCCCGGTTCGCGATGCTATCGGTATCCGATAAATCTGATAATCGATGCATTATATCGCAGAGAATTTGCCTTGGTTCCCGTTACAAAACCTGGTATGCGATACGATTCGTACGAGACGTGTCCAGTGTTTACAAGCCAGCCAGTGTGCGCGCATCGAAGGATGCATTCGGTACATACTATATTATCCATATTATCACTGTTTTTGGTGCTTGTTTCTGCAAAATAAGTCACCATGTGCCCCAAGAAAGCTTCTAGTGCCAACCCATCGAGACCAAGGGTGCTAATGACTATTGAAATTAAGGAAATGTGTGCAAAGTGGCTTGAAGTGCAAACCTTTTTTGATGAAAATCACCCTGACACAGCTACTGCAAGCTGTGTTGGCAATCTGTACACTGACAATGTTGTGAACCACTTTAGGAAAGTCATAAAGGAATGAGAGGTACAGGCCTCTATGGACAGATATGTTGTGTGACAGAAGTCCAGTGACTCTCAAGCTGGTCCTAGTGGCATTAAAAGAAGAAGGGAAGTAACCCTGGAAAAGGACTTGCTACCTCGAGTCCTAATGTAGGAGGATTCCCCTTCTAAACATTAAAAACGTCGACACACTCCCCTCCTCCCATCCCATCAATCATCACCAGATCTTCATTAAAGGTAAGTGTCAATTATTCTATTGTTATTGCAATTATTATATTGCATTAAACTTAATATATCATGTTTTTTTCATACTTTTGGGTGTCTTGCACGGATTAATTTGATTTCCATTATTTCTTATGGGGAATATTGATTCGCTTTCCGATAATTTTGGTTTACGATGAGCTCTCAGGAACGGATTAATATCGTGAACCGAGGGTCCACTGTATTTCAACAACCCAATAAAGTGATCAGAAATTTGTAATTTGGCTAATTTCACACAAATTTCAAAATACAGTGGTCCCTTGTTTTTCGTAATTACAGTGGACCCTCGACATTCGATACTAATCCGTTCCTGAGAGCTATCGAATGTTGAAAATATCGAAAGTCGAATTAATTTTCCCAATAAGAAATAATGGAAATCAAATTAATCTGTGCAAGACACTCAAAAGTATGAAAAAATTTTTTTTACCACATGAAATATTAAGTTAAATGCAATAGAATAATTACAATAACAACAGATTAATAACAATAGAATAATTGACAATTACCTTTAATGAAGATCTGGTGGTGATTGATGGGATGGGAGGAGAGGGAGAGTGTGGATGGTGTTAGTGTTTAGAAGAGGAATCCCCTTCCATTAGGACTTGAACTGGCAGCCTCACCATGCCTTACCACACTGTGTATGCCACTACGATTCTTAAATGTTTCAAACCAACCTTTGCTGGCCTTAACTTCACTCACATCACCACTAGTTGCAGGCAATTTCTTTACCAAATCATCATGCACTCCGACACACGCACTCCACTTTCGTACTTTGCAATTATCTCTTTCTTCATTTCAATAGTCATTAGCACCTTTTTTCTTGAAGGTTGGCACTAGAAGCTTTCTTGGGGCCCATGGTTACTTATTTTGCAGAAACAAGCACCAAAAACAGTGATAATATAGATAATATGGAATGTACTGAATATATCCTTATATGTGCGCACATTGGCTGGCTTGTAAACAGTGGCACACACGGGGCAGTTCAGGCCACACGTGGACACTTCTCGTACGAATCGTATCGAATGTCGGGTTTTCCATTGAATGTCGAGGCAAAATTTTTGCGTTAAAATGCATCGAATGTCGGATTTATCGAATGTCGATGCCTTCGAATGTCGGGGGTCCACTGTAATCCATTCCTGGAAGTGTGACTATTATCGAAATTGACGATTTTCGAATCCATTTTCCCCATAAGAAATAATGTAAATCCAATTAATTCGTTCCAGACACCTAGAAGTACAGTGGACCCCCGGCACACGATGGCATCGGCATACGTTAAATCTGGCATACGATACATTTTAACGCAAAAATTTTGCCTCGCCTCACGCTAAAAAACTCGCCTCATGCGATTCGTCTGAGCGCACCTCAGCTGCCCCGTGGGTGCCAGTGTTTACAAGCCAGCCAGTGCAGTCGCATCCACGCATACAATCGGAACATTTCATATTATCACAGCATTTTTAGTGATTGTACCTGCAAAATAAGTCACCATGGGCCCCAAGAAAGCTTCTAGTGCCAACTGTGTGGTAAAAAAGGTGAAAATTACTATGGAAATGAAAGAGATAATTGCTGCTGCACCACAGTCAGCTGCTGCTGCACCACCATCAGCTGTTTCTGACCAACATGACTCGTCCCGGACCTGTCCATCCAGCCCTGCCGTCATTGTTTACAAGCCAGGGTGGCCGCTTGCATGCATACATTCGATACATTTTGTATTATCCCATTGTTTATAGTGATTGTAACTGTTAAATAAGCCACCATGGGCCCAAAGAAAGCTTCTAGTGCCAACCCTGTGGTAAAAAGGGTGAGAAATATGTACTATCGTACCATGGTCAGCTGCTGCTGCACCACAGTCAGCTGGTCCTAGTGGCATTAAAAAAAAAGAAGGGAATAACCCCGGGAAAAAATGTGCACCTAAAGCCCAAAGGAAAAGGATTCCCCCTTTTAAAATTAACAACCCATACTTTCCCCCCTCCCATCAATCACACCAGATCTTCAATAAAGGTAATGTCAGTTTGTGTTTTAAAATTTAAAATTCCCTGGTAAAATTGTTTTTTTTTTTATACTTTGGGTGTCTTGCACGGATTAATTTGATTCCGTTTTTTCTTATGGGGAAAAATTAATTCGCCTTAAAGATAATTTTTGGGTATGAGTGCTCTCAGGAACGGGTTTTAAAATCGTTTTGCCGGGCCCTGCATCAAAAAAATTTTTTTACCTTTGATAAAATTTTCAGCAAAAGAAAGAGAATTTAACATAAAAGTTACCTTTATTGAAGGTGTTGTTTATGAATGGAGACAGGGGGGAGAGAGGGGAAAAGGTTTTTTTTGGAAGGGGGAAACCCCCCCATAAGGACTCTAGGCATTTGGGGTAATTTCCCGAGCTTATAGATTTTTTGGAAAAAAGAATGCCAAATAAATTTAAAAACAATAAAAGTTTAAAAGAACTTTAACAACACTTACCCTTTTTTTGAAGACTTTTGTTGGTAGGCAGAGGGAGGGGAAACGAGTTTTATTGTTGGAGAAAATGACAAATATCAACCACGGGTATTTATCATCACAATTCAACTAAATGACATAATAAACAATATTAATAAAATGAAACATGGAATAACTCTAAATGAAAAAATAATCGTGTAGTCACAGAGGTGTTGTTGGGGGGTATAAGGCCCCCTGAGAGAAAAACCGTCCATAATGGGAAGCAGCAGCGAGGCAGCGGGGGTTTTCGAGCCCGTAAACTCAAAACATTGGGGGAGTTGGTAGAATTGCTGAATCACTGAAGAAGGCACCCTCTACCACCACCACAACTGCTTCCACTCTACCACCACTACCATCGTATTTTTCTACACACTTTTTCTTAAATTATACGTGTTTCTCACATTCTTTACCAAAGGGCTGGCACTAGAAGCTTTCTTTTGAGCCATAGTGACTTATTTAGCAGTTGCAAGCACTAAAACGAATGGAATATTATGAAATGTATTGTATGAACTCGTGGGATCATCCTTAGTCACTGATAAACAGTGGCACACTGGGGCAGCTCGGGGCTGTGTGTAGGCATCCCACACGAACGACTATTTGCGAGTCAAACGATTTTCGAGCTAATGTTTTGACGAAAATAATGTTACGATTTTCGAAAATTAAGACTATCGAGCCTTATGATTATCGAGGGACCACTGTATTCCAGTTTCAGAATAAGGTCCAGAATAAACAGTGCAGGCATTCCTGGCACTAAAGTATTTCCTGTTCATTCGTTACCTTCCCAGGCTTTACACATGAATTCTATTTTGATTTTTTATTCATGCAAAAAATATTACTTACTATTATGAAATATTGTAAGATTTGTATAAATAATAGTGCATTTGTGAACACACATAAGACCCATCAGTTGGACATGCATTGGACGAATGATGTCATTTGTTCACTCTTGAATATCAGCAAAAATTGAACATTTCTGTTAATTTTAGCTAAATTTCAAGCTACAGTAATTTCAGTCCTGAAACCAATCAAATCATTTCTTTTTCTGTAATATATCTTCCAGTCTATCAATTAGGACCAAGGGACAGGGAATACAACCACAAAAGCCATACAGAAATACATCTCAAAGTTGCAGTTTTCTCATTATGCACTGCAGTATTTTTTTTTATGGTGCACACTTACCATATAGACCCCTTCTCTCATTATTATTATCAAAAAGAACCCCTTCTCTCAGATCTAGCCCATTCACCAAGGGTTATGTTTGTATCTCGGGGCTTTTTGATATTTCCCAGTCTAAATTATACAATGAGGCAAACATCCCATTTTTGTAAGATCAATAAAATTACCAGTCTCTTGTTATTTTGTCTGCTTCCATAGTCTTCATTATCCTTTACCTAATTACAATCAAGGGTAGCTGATTGACTAACCCCCTTC